CGGCTCCGGCAGCCGCGGCGGGGGAAGGGCCGGGCGGGGCGGGGCGGGAGCAGCCGGGCTGGGTTCTCCCGTCCCGGGCGGAGTTTTTAAAGGGGAAGCGGCCGCCGGAGGGGGGAGGGGCGGGAGGAGGCGGAGCTTCCGCTGGGGACACCCCGCCCTCCCCCGCGCCGAGCGCCCCCCCGCACCCAGCACCGGCCAAGGGTCCGAGGGAGAGATAAAGGGGCTGCGTGGGGGGCAGGGTTATCGATAGGGGGGGTGGATAGAGGGGTGGGTACATAAGGAGGTGGGTGGGTATATACGCGGGTGGATGGATGCAGGGATTTCCCTACACACACACCCGAATTTCCCCAACACTCCCCCCCCCCGCAGTTTTGTGGACTAGTTACATGCAGTTTTGTCAATTTAGTGATTGTTTGGAAATTTGAATTGAAATTGAAACATTAATACACACTTCAAAAGCATGTGTATGATAAAATACGTGTATCTGAAAAAGGATCATGGATTTAAGAATGCTGGAGACACAACACAGTTCATGCGAACACACATGGCTGTGGCATCCTACTTTCTAGTTAAGCAAGAGATACCACACACTACAAACTGGAGGCCAATGTTAAGTGCATTGTCACTTGTTCATCCTGAAGTTGAACACTGGTTCCGAACAAGACCAGCAAATGCTCACTATCTTTCTTCAGTTAAATGCTTGTCTATTGGACCCCAAACAGATGCTGCTTGTGCATTTGATGGAGCTGCAAACTTCTCTGGAAGACATGGTGGAGTACAGGCTTAGCTCAGAGAAAAGTGTAACCCTAATCTCTCCTATACACACTGCAGAGGTCATCTACTCCAACTAGCGCTAGTACGAGCTGCAGACTCTTCAAAAGGCATTAAAAAGCTATAAATTTAATGTCTTCCTTATATTCTTTTTTCAGCAAGAGTCCAAAAAGACTGAATATCTTGGAAAATAGAGAAGATACCCTGGGACTGAAGTTCAAATTAGTCCAAGCTGGGAAAACCCGCTGGCTTTCTCCTGAGCGATCCTTGGCTGTTGTCTTAAAATGACTCCAGCCGTTATTACTGGCTTTGGAAAGTCTCTACCAAGATGGGATGGATCTAAGGAGTGAGGTCGGTGGATTCCTTTTGCTACTACGTTCAGAGAAGACTATTGCCGTTCTCTCTCTCTCGTAAGTCTACTGTGGAAACCACTTGGGTCATTACACAAGGCCATCCAGGCATCTGCTACAACAGTAGGAGATCTTTGTCCAGCAATAGGAGCTACATTTGGATCAATCCGAGAGCTATCCATTGAAAACGTACTGGGAGAAGCAAAGACTTCAGTCCAGAAGTTGACTAATGAAGGCATTTATACTGAATCCTGAAATGAAGAGGACAAGAAGTGTTTATTAAGACAACTGAAAAAGTACAGACTTGATTCTTAAAACTCTACAACAGCAACTTCTAGATTCTACTCAACGTCTACGTAGCTTTTACAGATTCCTGTCTTATAAAACATCGACAGCTGAGTGGAGTGAGGCACTACCAGCAATGGGGCTGCCATGTGCTCAGGACGGAATAGAGAATTTGAACACAGAGTGGAATATCATACAACGAATGAATGAAGATTTGACTTCAACTTCTTTTTTATCATCACTAGTGGCTCGACCCGATCTTTGTGCTCTGTTTCCTGGGATGAAAGAAGTCGGAATTCGTCTCTTGCTCCTCCCAGTCACAACAGCTACAGTTGAGCGTTCTTTTCCGTCATTGAATAGAATTTTGTCTTCTGAAAGAAGTCGCCTTCTGCCTAATCATGTGAATGAACTAATGAGCATCTCAATTGAAGGAATTGAAGTACCGGACACCCGAGATGCCACCAAAGATGAACGCGTTGCTTTCAAGAAGTTCATTAACAGAGTTGTGCAAAATTATAACAAGAAACCAAGAAGGATGTAGATGTCGTGCTCATAGAAGGCTTGAGTAGCCAACTTTAATTTGTGTGATGATTTTAAAACATGAGTTAAATCTAATAAAATGGTCATGAAACATTTTTCAGTTTTTACTGTGGTGCCATACAGCCCACCTTCACCCTCATGGTCTCATCCCTCATCGACCCTGACCCCCCCCACCCTGTAAATTCAAACATCCCTCCCCCCCCATTTCAATTCCTGGGAAAAACACTGGATGGATGGATAGATGGGTGGGTAGATGAGAGGTGGGTGGGTACATAAGGAGGTGGGTGGGTATGTACAGGGGGTGGATGGATGGATAGGTGGGTGGATAGATGAGAGGTGGGTGGGTACATAAGGAGGTAGGTGGGTATGTACGGGGTGGATGGATGGATAGATGGGTGGGTAGATGGGAGGTGGGTGGGTACATAAGGAGGTAGGTGGGTATGTACAGGGTGGATGGATGGATAGATGGGTGGGTAGATGGGAGGTGGGTGGGTATGTACGGAGGGTGGATGGATGGGTGGGTAGATGAGAGGTGGGTACATAAGGAGGGGGGTGGGTATGTACAGGGGGTGGGTAGATGAGAGTTGGGGGTATATAAGGAGGGGGTGGGTATGTACGGAGGGTGGATGGATGGATAGATGGGTGGGTAGATGAGAGTAGGGGGGATATATAAGAGGGGGTGTGTGATGCTCTGTACCTCTGGGGAACACCCTGCACCCCCATGTTCATCTTTGTAAAATGATTGTGTGGTACCCAATGCAAAGTTTGTCACTTCGGGTGTCTTCAGAAGGCTCATGATGCACTGAGCATGGTTGTTATAGTGATGTTACAGGTTGTAATTTCATGTATATTGTTATGAGGCTGAAAATGTGTCCTCATGGCTTAAAGCAAGCCCAGGCAAAACCCTCCAGGAGCAGAGGGACAGTTCACACCTCATCAGGGCACATATGGGACAAACCCAGCCCAGCCTCACAGAAACAAAGGACACTGGCCTAGGCAGCAACAAAGGATGTATTGGACTCTCGAGTGAGTCACCCCCCTTCCTTTGGGTCCATTTGGGACGGCGATGAGGTAATGCTCACCTGACTCTGAAGGGGGGGGGGGCAAAGCCAAGAGGGAAGAAAGGACATGATAAAAGTGAGAGACGTTTGATATGCTCTTCCTCTCTCTTCCACCTCCATCTACAGAAATCACCACTAAGCGACTGAAGCGCTGATCAAAGGGGAGAGCCTAGCTGAAGAGCAACCAGCCAGCGTGGGGTGAGAAGCATCTAAGTTTGCAAGGACACTGAAAGTGTTAAGATCAGCTTAGAATGTGTTCTGCTTTTATTTCATTTGACAAAATCCAACTTCTTGTGCTTTGACTTATAATCCCTTAAAATCTATCTTTTGTAGTTAATACATCTGTTTGTTTATTCTACCTGAAGCAGTGCGTTTGGTTTGAAGCGTGTCAGAGACCCCCCCTTGGGAGAACAAGCCTGGGACATATCAATTTCTTTGTTAAATTGACGAACTCAGATAAGCTTGCAGCATCCAGTGGGCATAACTGGACACTGCAAGATGGAGGTTCCTAGGGTTGTGTCTAGGACCGGAGATATTGGCCAGTGTCATTTGGTTGCACAATCCAAGGAGCAGTTACATGCCAGAGGCTGTGTGTGAACAGCCCAGGAGTGGGGTTCTCACACCAGAGCAGGGTAAGGCTGGCTCCCAGAGTCAAGCATTGGAGTGACCGAGCAGATCCCCGGTCCGGATAACACCAGAGGGGAACGTCATAGTGGCACAGTGAGCAGGGTCTATGTACGCCTTGTTACTCCAAGTGGAGTTCACCCTTTAAGCACTGTATCAGAGGGGTAGCCGTGTTGGTCTGGATCTGTAAAAAGCAACAGAGAGTCCTGTGGCACCTTTAAGACTAACAGATGTATTGGAGCATAAGCTTTCGAGGGTGAATGCCCAGTTCGTCTGTTAGTCTTAAAGGTGCCACAAGACTCTCTGTTACTTTAAGCACCGATATTTGTGATTTTAAGTGAGTCTTAAGTGCCGTGGCTAAGGGCAGTCAGGAGGAGGTCCCAGTTTTGTTATTTTCTGTTTGCTTATTTTGGGAAAGGGAAGTAGGAACAGAAAACAGGAAACTGAGTGAAAGCAGTGACGCGATTGTGAAGTTGGAGTTTTTTGGGCAGCAGGCTGCAGAAAAGGAGAGGGACCACCAGAGATTATTGCAACTGAAAGAACTGGAGATAAAAGAAAAAAGAGAGAGAGAAGAAAGAGAAAGAGAGAAAACACCAACTGGACCTACTAGAGAAGCAGAACCAGAGGCCTCCAACCCCAACGACTCCCATCACTCCAAAACTCCACAAGTGGGAACACTTATGTCCCGCACAGAGTGAGGAGGACGATATTGCTGAATATCTGACCACCTTCAAGAGCCTGTTTGTCA